GGGTAAGATAGAACTAAGAACAGTAGAGGGACACAGAGAATAAGGGACAGAGATAAGAGAGAGGAAGAAGCAAAGAGGAAAGACAAGGCAGAAGCCGAAGCACTTTTAAGACACAGGGTGAACTAAGACACAAGGTGAGCCCTTGCATACTAACAGGGGATCTGACCTGCGAGGCTTCATTAGCAATATACTAAATTACCAGCAGATGGTGACATTGTCCCAGGAAAGGAGGATTCTGCCTCCAACACCATGCCCCAAAGCTCCAACCAAACTTTCTTCTGAAAAGTGATACCAAGAAAGAACTTGTAGTTTCTGAGTTACCAAGCCAAATTTGCAAATGGTTTACAACAATTTCCCCAAATTCCCTGAATTCATGATATGAGTCAGAATCGACTCCCCAGCAACAGGTTGGTTTGGTTTGCTCATCTATAGGAAGCCACCTTAGCTTTTCACAGTTTGGACATTGGCTGAATGGGGCTTGCTCCTTCCCAGTAATATACGTATGTATTCATGTACCGGTGTGTGTATGTTATTTTAATAATTGTTAAACAATTAAACAACATGGAGGCTTACTACCTTTCCATTGTCACCCACTCAACTATTAGCACTTTCCTTCTCCTGACAGAATATCTGTCACTTTGAAATCCATCACAATTCTGGAATCTTTGTTCTTATTAGATGTATGGTACTTATCACACTCCCACCAATCTATAAGACAACCAATTCTGAGGATTTTAGCAGACTGGAAAAAGTGTACCTTCAAAGGGGAACAGTATAACAATAATGTACAATACAACAGTGATTCCCAAACTGTAAGGGCACACGGATCACAGAGTAATCTTGTTAAATGGAGACTGACTCTATTTATTTTTTTAAATTTTTTTAATTATTATTTTTTTTGTGTTTGTACCATCAAATTGTAACTCTGTTTCTAACAAGGGTCCACGTGATACCAATGCTGCTGCTGGTCTGTGGACCACATTTTGAGTAGCAGAGGTGTCTTTATGTAAGGAGGGGCCAATGTACCCCTCTCACAAATTACAATTGATTATTTGTAGCCACTGTTGCCTTCTTTGTTACTCCCTAACTCAACATGCCTCCAGAAATTCTATGAACTTTGATAAATGTCGATAGCTGTAGAGGGGCTTCAGGCCTTTTGTTCATAGGATCGCTATCAGTCGTGCTCGACTCAAAGGCAATCAACAACAACAACAACTCTGATATAACTGGTCCTATTGCCCTTCAATTAATCAATATTTACAGTGAATCTGCTATGTGCAAACTCTTTGCTGGTTGATTTCAATTAACACCTTTGAGTTTCAGTCTCTGCATTAGGATTAGGATTAGTGATGATTCAGATTTACTGTTTGAATGTTGCATCACTCATTCACTGAACATTTGTTGAGGGTCTATGGTGTGCCAGGCACTGTTCTAGGAGTTGAAAAAACAGCAATGAGTAAAACTGGTATTGTTGTTGTTAAGTGCCATCAAGTTGTAGGTGACTCATGGTGACCCTATGAACGTAAGACCTGAACACTTGTATAACTTTCTTTGTTTCTCCAAGTTCACAGGGTTTTCGGAGGCAAGCTATTTCAGAAGTGGATACCACTCCTGCTTCCAAGCTTGTTTTAATAGGGAGCTCCACCAAACACTGTCCACCATGGGTGATCAATATCGCATTTGGCACATCTTTGTCACAGTGTTCAGCATCACAGCAGCCACAAGATAACTGTACAGCAAATCAACAGACCAGTGCTATACCACTTAGAAGAATGCTTGAACTGGTTTACATTGATTAAATTTTTAATTCTAGAATTAATTTTATTAATATTTATTGCTAACCCCAAATCAATTTAATGAGGGAAACATCAAGAGAGAGGGCAACATAATTAGAAAATGAACTTTCTTTTCTTCCTTTTCCTTTCTCCCTCATGAATAAATCAATCTAAAAGCCATTACTTGAGGTAAAGGAAAGGCAGTGAAGAAGAGTTTACACTGGCCTAAAAGAGAGGTGCTGGAAACAAGGAGGGTCAAAAGAGGATTTGTGTGGAAGGATAGCTGAGTAAAGTGTTTGAATCCAAGCAAGGTGAGAAAACTATCTGAGCAGGAGCAACCTGGTAAGAGTTATCAGAGCAAAGTGGAGAGAGCGTTCATTCAGGGGTTGGGATGACTTTAGTAATGGCCAGGTACAGGGTTTTACAGCCTGAGCAGAGTCAGAAGGGCATCTAATGTCAAGTGGTGATGATGGAGGTGACGGAAGATGACTACTTAAAGGCGACTTATCTGTCAGAGAAGGGAGTTAAAAACATGAGTGGATGGAAAACTTGAACAAACCCTTGTGGTGTTGGATAGGAATCAGAGGTCAGTATGTACTCATCGTTTTCAACATGCATATAGAACTAAATACAGTTTTAAGTATGCTTACATATAATTCCAATTTGGTCAACTAAGACAGCCTGGAATCAGAGACATCCCTAAAGCAGTGTGTACCTAGTGTACAAGTATTTGTTTCTAAATACTGTTTTCTGACAACATACCAGGGTTTCCAGGAGAAATGGCTAGTTTTAGGGTCAGGGCAGGGAAAGTACAAGATGAACCGGAACATTCTGTTGTGCCAGAAAGTAACATATTAAAAACCCGATGGAGCACTATCAAAAGTACTTAAAAGCTAGTTTGAAGGCATTCCCACTTGCTCAATCAGGTAAAATTTTTTTATAAAAATAAATAATGGTAGCAGCAGATTAAAATCTATTGAATAAAGTAGGAAATGACAAGGCCATAAGGACATAAATTAATACACTGAAAAGCTAATGAATGGATTATTTACAGTCTCTAAACATCTATAAAATACTAATTACCGGGAAAAAAGAAAAACTTCATAGTAAAGAAATCCAGCTGGGAAAACCTTAATTTAGTGATAAAAGTTACTATTAATATTTATGAGAGAAAAAGAACTTATGTGTCACTTGAATGGATACAAGAATACAGTATCACAGCTGTAAATCATTCTGCCAAAGATGAATAATCTGAATCTAATCATTTGGAAATATTAAACTGAGATTGAGGAACATTTTACAAACAACTGGCCTGTAATCATAGAAGTTATGGTCAAGGTTATGAAAGTCAGAGACAGACTGAGGAGCCACCTCATATGATCAGTGAATAAACAATGGACACAAGCAATGGGCCTGAGGATGGTACAGGCCTGAGCAGTGTTTCATCCTGTTGTGCAGAGTTGTCATAAGCCAGAAGGAACTCAAGGGTACCTTACAGTAACAACAACAAAGAATTATAACAATTAAATGCAACACATGATCTGGGTGAGATCCTTTTGCTATAAACACAATTATTAAGATTTGGAGAGTACTTCTCATTCGATAGGGTACATTTAATCTGTTGCCAAAGACCTCTATAAAGTGTTTGAGAGCAAGGATGTAATTTTGAAGATTAAAGCGTGACTGACTCAGGCTATGGAATTTTCAATAGCTTCATAAGCATGTTACAGTGGGATAATGAATAAGAACAAAGATTAATCAATGCCTTTGAATTGTGAGGTTAGTAAAGAATATTGCATACACCATGGAGTACCCAAAACCAGACCAATTTGTCTCGGAGGAAGTACAGCCAGAGTGCTTCTTTAGACTGCACGTTTCATATTTTGGTGAGACTTCATGTCACATATTTTGGGCAAGTTATCAGGAGGAAGCAGGCCCTGGAAAAAAGACATTATGCTTTGGAAAACTCAGAGAAAAAGAGGAAGATCCTTGGTGAGATAGACTGACACAGTGAACACGGCAGAGATTATGGACTTGGCCCAGTATTGGGCAGGAGGATTTTGTCCGATTGAATATAGGGCACCATGAGTCAGATCTGAGTCACACCTAAGAACAATGGCAGTGAATCAGTTAGTGGTCGGATTTTGAAGATTGTATTGTATTTACGGAACGTGCTTTTCTATAAGAAATGCTGTTCAATACTCTAGTTTTCCAAAGTGGTAAGCTTTCTAGTTGACAATTTTATAATTATTCAAGGCCAAAAGAAAACACCAACCCCAAACCTTATTCCGATAAATGTGAAACCAGATCATTATAAAAACGTGATAAGTGCTCAGGCAAAGGAGAACTCATGTGCTAAATTTCCTTGGTGTTTTGTTTTGTTTGCTTGTTTTAAGAGACTGGGTATGTTTGTGAAAGAATGCTAAGAATGGCTTCTTAAAATTCAAACAGACCATCTGAGCCAGTCCAAGTTCTTGCTTTTCATTTCAATACTATGAACCTTTGACTGGCAAAAAGAACCTCATCCCTGAGGAATGTTTTAGGGTCCTGTCTGTAAACTCTCTATGAGGGGTGAAGCTGTGCTGCAAATGCTCTAAAATCTTGCCTCTCATGGTAAATAGTTTGGGGCACAGATGTGTGCACTCTTTGGCACAGGTGCGGAGCTAGTGGGGTTTCGGGGCGGAGTTTGGGCTGGGTTTCCACACACAGCTTCCACATTCTGTCTGATATCGTGGAGTTCTTGCAGGAAGATTCTAAATTGAAGCCTAACCTTTCAGGTCTTTTCTCACTAACGTTAGGTTGATATTGACTCACAGAGACCCTCCAAGTGTTTTCCGAGGCTGTCAATCTTAACGGGAGGAGACTGTTCATCTTTGGTCAGTTCTTAGGAAGATATAGCTGTCAAGACAGGAGAAACAGATCACACTCAAGCTCAGCAATAGGAAACGAAACACATGGGCCAGACGAGACTCCGAAGAGCGGAAATCAGCAGAGTCCGGTACTACCCTGCGCTGGAGACCACGCCTCCGGCGCCGCGGGATTGGTGGCCTCGGCGCTCAGGGGAGGAGCTTGGCGGGGCGGAGTTAGGCGGAGGCGGAAACAAGAGGCTCCGCGTTCTAGGCGGTGCTTCACGAGGTCACGCCCCTTCCGGTCGCTGCTTTCAAGATGCTCCCGCGTGTAAAAAATCTTGTTGGCCCTTCGGGTTGTGGCGTCTAGAAGGGCGCGATGGCGGCAGAGACTTTGCAGGCTGCGAGGTGGCAGTACTGTGGGGAGCCTGATGAGAGCCAGAAAGCTGTATTGGGTAAAAAATGGGGAGCTGGAGCGGAGTTCCTCCCACCTCCCTTCTGTCTCTTTTAATCTATCGCTCCAGTCTTCCACATCCCGCACCGCCCCCCTCCAATCGCCCAGTACCCCTCTAGTTACTATGACTTGGGACGTGTCTAACGGCTTTCCTGTCATCATGCTTGCCACCCTTTTGTCACTACATCCCGACTGGATGAGACCATCTCAGCCACTCCTCCCTTGCTCTGTGCCCAGATCTCTGTCATCTCCTTATTCACTAAGAAGTCTATAGGTCCCGTTCCTCTCGTTGAGAAGCTCCCTCGTCTTTCTGGATCTAGACCTGGCCTCTTCTGTTAGTCCTTTCCTGCAGAGTCTCCTCAGGGCTCCCTCACATCCCTGATCCTTCTGTACTGAGGAAGGCCCGCCTTCAGTCCTTTAGATCAGAATTTGGGCTTCTTCGACATGCCATTCCTCCCAGTGACACCCTGCTTCCTCTCCACACATGCTGTGTGAGTCCTGTTCTTAGTCCATTCTCCTGTGTGACCTTACAGTGCAGTTCTCCAACGGGAAGCTGCAGAACCCAGGCAACATGCGCTTTACCTTGTACAAGAATAAAGACTCCACCAACCCCAGGAAGAAGAATCATCGGATCGTGGTAAGTGCCGCCCTTGCCAGTTGCCTCCACTTTGCAAACCTGCAGAGGCCTCTTGGGTGTGAGTGGCTCTGGAGGGAGTGAGGGGAGAAGGGAATTCCTCTGACACCCCCTTCCCATGCCAATCCCACCCCTCCACCCTCAGCTCCCAAGTGTGAAACAAACTGGCCATCCTGTTTTGGTACTTTTGGAGAAGTGATGACTGTGAACACAGTCGTTCATTCAACATGCATTTATTGAGCACCCATTGTGTCCCTGTGCTGGGAGCTGCTGGGGTTACAGCCAAATGAAACCTGATCCTACACTGAGTGTGATCCTGTTCTAGAGCAGTTTCTTACCCTCAACATGTTGGACCATAGAATTTTTTTATTCTGAGCAGCTGTGCTGTGCATTACATATATAGGCTCTACGTATTAGGTGCCAGGAGCACCATCTCCACCCTCCCCCCTCACTTGTGATAACCCAAAAATGTCAAACATTGTCCCATGTCTCCTGGAGGTAGTGGTGCTAGGCAACATTATCTTGAATTGAGATCCTCTGCTCTGGAGAGACATGTGAGAACAGGATGCGAGGAGCATGCTTACTGGTAGCTAGAGCTCAGGTAGAGAAAGGAAAGATACCCTGCAGAGGGAGCACAGAAATAGGAGAGCACTCAGCTTTCCAGAATACCTTCTTTGAAACGGGCATAGTGGGAGCTAAGGCGGTTTGGTAATTCAAGTGAAGATGATAGCAAGGACCGACTTGACTCTGATTGGTGGGTGGATTAGCCATTTCCATCATTGAGAGTATAAAAGTATTCCTCATTTAAGAGTATTCCTGGGAAAAGTGAACAGAAAGGAGGTTGCTTGTGGAATCACCAAGTTAAATGACTATGTATATGCATTGTTTGGTCTGTCCCCTAAGTTCTATGGTGCACCTTCCTCAAGAATTTCCAATACCAATTAGAATCCAGTTTCTGAAGCTACCCTTCCCGAAGTCCTTTTTTCTTTCCTTCTCCCACAGGTACTCCAGATTCACTTACGGAGCGGGGCTAATCATCTTCTAGTGCTCCTATCCAGTTTTAATTCACAGTGGTTCTGTATTCTAATACTTTTGCAAATGTAGAAAAAGATACTTAATACCCATCATCTTTGCTTGTTAATTGAGCTTTCCCTCCTTCTACATTTTAGGCAGCTGAAACAGACAGACTTTCCTATGTGGGGAACAATTTTGGGACTGGAGCCCTCAAATGCAACACTTTGTGCAGGTAATGATGGGGGGACAGAGCAGTGTGGGAATAATGGGGAGGGTACTGCTACAGTTGCTCTCTGACTTTATCACAGGGGCAAGTGAGAGAAATCTAGGGACATTTGTCACATCCTTGTATTCCCAGACCCTGCGGTTCTCATTCTATCCTGTAGGTAGTCCTGTAAAGGAAAGATGACTTATATTTGTTGAAAATCCTTATACTTGACTAATTTGTAATATTTATCTGTACAGTTCCAAAAGACAGCTCTCTGTACAAAGTTAAAGTCTTTAAATAATAGACAGACTTGCCTGAAATTTGCCTGGGAACTAACCTTAAGAAAAGGATTTGGTTAATTGTTCTGTAAATTTTTTAAGATTCATCCATGAACTATCTAAGTTAATTGTTTTTTTTTAGAGGGAAGTTGATGAAAAAAGCTCTGTGACTGTTCCATATTTCTTTAATGATAATTTATTTGTTAAAATTGACTATATTGTCTAGAAAAAAACCCACATTGTTTTCAAGTTCTTTTTTCCTAATTAGAGTTGGATTTTTTTTTTTTAAATATGAGTGGAAAGTATTGAGTGAAAACTTGCAGAGAAATGTAGTTTCCCATCAATCATACGGAAAGGTTTTTTTATAGGAATAAAAACATTCACATCGTAAAAAAAAAAAGACAAGGATTTGGTGCTATCAGAGGCTCTGGACTGGAAAAGAGGAGCCAGGGGTTCCATCTAGCTCTGTGCTGGTTAACCAAGTAACTTTGGTGGAACCTGGCTTTCACTGACCTCCACTCACCTCTGTGAGATTGTCCACTTTGACCAGTCTGTAATGCTCAGGAACTGGCATAATGGGCACCCTGTGATGGTGAACCACAAACCAGGATGTATCAGAGCCCCCCTAGACCACATCCTGATAAATGTGTATTTGTTAGACTGTATTAACACACTGCATCCCTTCACAAACATTCTTTGATTCAGACTGGTCATCTTCCATCATCAGCAATGTTTTACATACATTTATCTCCACAAAACTTATGTGTGCAGTAATTCCCGTGGGTTACATGTGGGGCAGCTAGCTGATAGGTGGACAGTTCGAATCCACCAAGCATTCTATAGGAGAAAGATGAGACAGTTTACTACCATTAAGGTTTATACCTTCATCAACTCAGTGCAGTCTGTCAGAAGTTTCAGTCCATTATAGCAGTGAGTCCCAAATGTGGTTGATTACTAAAATCAGCTTGTTACTTTTTTTTTTTTTTTAAAAACCCCTAAACTCTATCATTCCCTCTCCCCTCCCTACCCAGGGAGTTGCTGCTGTAAGAGAATAGTGATTTGTCTGGGTAAGTGATGCATTCCTCAGGTTTATTGGAGGCAGAAAGGAGGTTTCAAAAATCAGGCCTGCCTCGGAGTTGGTTCTGACTTATTGGTGACCATAAAGAACTGAGTAGATCTAGCCCGTAAGACTTCCAAGGCTGTAAATCTTTATAGAGACAGGCTGCTTCATCTTTCTCTTGTGGAACAGTGGTGGTGGCTGGGTGGGGGGTTGAATTCAGTTAAAAGATGAACACTTTACCACTGTGCCACAAAGCCTTTGAGAGAGAGGATTGTTGTTGTTATGTGCTGTCGAGTCAAAACTGACCCAAAGCTGACTCCAGCAGGTTTTCAGAGTAAAGTACAAGAAAGGAGATTACCCATATTTTTCCCACAGAACAGCTGATGGATTTGAACCATGGGCTTTGGGGTTGGCAGCATGGCTCCCATTCAGCCACCAGAGCTCCCTTGAAAAAAAAGAGTTGAGAACCTATAAATGGGGAAAAGGAAGTTTAGAAATATCTTTTTTTGGTTTGTTTTTTTCAAACATTAACTTTTGACTATTTCATTTTTGCTCCCAATCTTCCTTACTTATTCAGGCACTTTGTGGGAGTTTTGAACAAGACCTCTGGCCAAATGGAAGTATATGATGCCGAATTGTTCAATATGCAGCCACTATTTTCAGGTAGGTCCTAGTCATGAAGGCTCCTCGAAGATTTGGAGTTTACTGGATTAATTGACCTTGAATTTTTCATTTCCAGAGCACATTTATATTTATGGTTTAAAGGTGCGTTTCTGCCACTTGTTGTTGTTTTTTCTTAAATTTTATTTATTTGATTTTTTTTTTTAATGACAATGCCCATAATGTCCTCACACTTACTTCCTCCGCATGTGATTCTTCTTTCCATCAAGTCTCTGTCCTGCCCCTCCTGTCTTCTGGGCTTCATCCCTGTGCAGATGCTGTCTTTTTGATCTTGTGTGATTGGTTGATCTAAGAAGTGAGTGTCTCCCTAGTAGCTTTGTTCACTGTAAAGGCCTGTTGATTAATTAGCTGAAAGTTGACCCACAGGGGTGAGTTTTGCTCTGTGTTCCAAGGGTGACTAAAGGCTATAGTTTAGGGATTTCCACCACTCTTAGACAAGTAAGCTTGGTCTTTTTCATGTGTTTTTCAGTTTTGTTCACACTTCCTCATTCTCGATCCAGGATCATCTACTGTGATTCTTTTTGAGTAGTCAGTGGTGGCAGGGCACCATCTAATTTTTCTGATCTCCATGTTATAGAGGGTTTACATTACCCATTAGGTCTTTGGACTGATTGTTTTTTGCACCTTCACCTTTCTTTCCTCTTGTGATAGTTGCCCCTTAAATATTCTTTGTAAGCTTTTAAGATCCTAGTAGCTACTCATCAGAGTAGGATGTAGAATGTTATCTTTATGGAATATGTTTTGGCAGATGACCTTGATTTCCCCCAGATCTGTGGTCCCCAGACCTTAAGACCAACAGCTCTTTTGCTTAGGAAGTTTGGTTATAATTATTTGAAAAACTGTCATTTCCCCCTCACCTTCTCCAGCAAATGCTTTATGATGACCTGTTGGGTACCAGGTGAGGTCTTAGAGATGCCACACTCAAACATGGTGATTGATTATGCGGCTCTGTATGTGGCATGGTACAGTAATCTAGTCTTAGCTAGCAGATGCTGGAAAGAGCTTCCTCTGAATCTCCTATCCTAGGGCTTCAACCAGTAATTTTGTTGTTGTTCTGAAAACCTTGACAAATTACCAAAATTGTAAAAATTCCAGTCTGGTCCTCTCTTACTTTTTCTTCATGACAAAGCCAGTTCAAAGAGCAGGTTGGAGTTGCCCTTAAGTTGGACCTTCATAATCTAACATATGTGTGTACATATGTGCATATACATGTACACAGAAAAACCAAAATCTAGTATTTATTTGTAACTGTGTGCAACGCAGTATTCTACATACTTTTAATATACTGAATCATTTAACTCATATAATTACTCCATTTGAAGTAGGACTTGTTACTTCTCTTTTATACATGATGAGGTTAAATGATGGGCAGGGCATACTTCATATGTATATGTATACATGTATTATGTGTGTCTAGGCTGTCCCCAGATTAAAACTAGGTTTATTCCTAAACCTGCCTTTAAATAGAATTTCTGCTTAAGTTATAAAAGTAAAATATGATTCATATTTAATATCACTTGCTGAAATGTTTGTATAGAGTATACCTTTCTATGCATTAGAAACATTAAAAAAAGACTACCAGGTACCCTAAGGCATTTTTAACATAATACATTAATAATACTAAAGTTTGATGCCTCTTGAAACATTATTATGAACCATTGCATTGTATATACCTTATATATAGACTCTAACAGGGTTGGCTCATAACTACAGGTTAAACATAAGTTGAACATTCAAAACATGGGACTACTGATATATGTATGAACTAGGGTTTAAACTCAGTTGGGGTCAAACCAGAGCTTGTGTACGAGATTAGTCACCACTTATGTAAATGTTCTCTGGGAGATTGGAGAACTTCCTGTGATTAAAAAACCCCCCATTTTATGCCTATTTTTAGATGTTTTACAAGGAAGGCCAAATTATTCACTGGAACAAACTGAGTGCTGGTTTCTAATCCCACATCTGTCACTGCTTGGACCTGAGGGATGTCATTTCACCTGGAGGCCTCATTTCCTATTTGTAAAATGAAGACACTGGACCAGATGGTCCCTTCATTTCATCTGATTCCTTTATTTCTTTTCCACATTATCTGTATGTGTGCGTTAAAGCTTCATACCAAAGACTGACAGTACAGTGCCTTCTTAAGCTGTGGAGAGTCCTATATTAAAGCAGTCTGTTTTGATTTTTTTAATTAATTATTAACAAATAAACCTTAGATACCACTACTATTTGTAGGTCTTACAGTTTGCTTTTTATTTCCCTTCATAATTACTATTTGTTCTATGTTTTGGTAGATGAATCCATTGACATTGAACTGCCATCACAGAGTCAAGCCAAAACTTACAGAGAAAAGGTTTGTATGAAACACACTAAGGTGTGGGACCTCAACAAGTTCCTTCTAGCCTTGGGTCCCTGTCAGTAAAATGAGTTGGTTGAACCTGAGTCTTGCTAGTTAGTCTGTGATTCTCTGCATAGTTTTTAACTACTGTGGCCTTGTCAGCTTCACGGAGAGCAGACCTCCCATCTGGGGAAAGCACCTGTCTTTGGAACCATCTCTCAAAGGCTCATGTAGTGGTACAACCACTGTGGAAGGCGGTATGGTGACTCCAGCAGGTTTTCAGAGTAAAGTACAAGAA